CTGGCAGGTCCACGCCCCTATGAAAGCACCTACAAAGCATGAGAAGAAGCAGATGAAGAAACTCCCTGTGCCTGGTGTCCTTCCTCAGTGAAAGCAGGGACCCACCGGGCTGCAGGACTGACTGTCCGTGTGGCCAGGTGAGGGATGTGGGAGATAAATGAGGTGAGAACAGTGTGAGACACAGTGGGACCTGTGTAGGCGAGGGCCAGGGATGATGCGAAAGTGAGAGGAACTTCAACACTGGGAGGAAGGAGTAAGGATGGGAGTGATGCTCAGTGAATGGGCAGTTTGGCCCAAGCCTCTGTTAGGAGAGAAAAGTGAGAGCCCTCCTCACTTATTTAGGATTCAGGGTTAGGGCTAGGGTTAGGGTTAGGGAGTGTGGAAGACCTGGGTCAGTCCCACATCTGCTCTGGGCAGATCTGTGTGTCCAGCACGGGGACAGAAGTGAGAACTGATCCCAGACAGGTGGGCAGGCACCCACATCCCCCAACCAGCCCCAAAAGCTGCCCTAAGCTCGTGAGCTGTGAATCAGCCCTCTGCTTTCTCCGAACTTCAACTCTTTCCCTTCCACAGCAGATCAAACATCTCGTTGCCACGCTAAGCATTTCTCAGCAGCCCCTTTCATCCCCCCTCTCTGAGTCCCCGGAGGGTCTTTTGTCACTCTCTGATAAGAAAGCTGGCTGAATGGGAGTGAGGGGCACAGCGTTCCAGAGTGGATGCTTCTTGTGCAGTGACTCACTAGGCTGCAGGGGACAGTGGCAGGTCCAGGGACACGTCCTGGCTTACTGGGACACATCCTCTCCCAAAGGGAGCCAGCTTCCTGGGAAGCATGAGCAGTTTCCACCACGTGACTTCTCTTCCTTTGCTTTTCCCTGAAACTGTGGAAAGAGCCAGATGTGTACTCTGTTCCCCGTGTACTTCCAGCATGACTGAGATTGGAAGCACAAACCTTGTGCTTCAGTCACCTTTGTATCATGGCAGGGGAGAATTCAGGCTTATGCTGGGAGACACGTGCTAAGAAGGGGATGAGGACACAGGGAAGTGGCAGGGCACCAACAGCCCACGGGGTGCCTGGGGACGAGGGCTATTCACGGAACTAAGGACATGCCAAGAAAAGGTGTGTCTGATCCGCTGCCCCACTCCTCTGCCCCTACACGCCTGCGTGAGCCTGGTATGTAGCGACGGCACTGTGTGTTCTTGGTGGCTGCTTTCAGGAACCCTGAGCGGTCACACATGTTGAGCAGATAAAGATCTCACCACTCCCACGTGGAGAGTGCAGCCACTGTGTGGCAGGAGGAGCGGGGCTGTGACTCCTCTAAGTCACTTGCTTAGTCACTGCCTCAGTTTCCCCAGCTCTAGAATGGGGTTAGTAATACGTCTCTGAGATCGTATGTTCCTCAGGCGTGGGGTTTACTATACAGCCATAAAATAAAATGTATCATAGAATCATAGAAGCATTAAAGTTGGAAAAGACCACAAGGTCCACGTAGTCCAATTGTCAGCTCATTCCCACCGTGCCTACTAACCCTCAGTGCCACATCTCCATGGCTCTTGAATATGTTGGCAGCAAAGGTGGGACCCACTGTGCTCCATTCATGGGACTGCACCCTCACTGGGTGTTGTTCTAAGAACAGTTTTGTGGATGTGTGGCTGAAAATCAGCCATGATCCTCCCACAAGTAGCAAGAGTCTCTGTCACTTTCTGTAAGTACATCCGTAATGGAAATGAGAACGTAATAGCTTGTCTTTGACAGGGAACACAGTCCACTTTGTGCTAATGGAGTAATAAAAGCAATCAACCTGGAGCATGCTCATCTTATTACTGGGAGCATGCGAACCAGGTGATAAGGTTGCTGTGTTAGCCAGGTTGTGCTGCTGCATTGTTCCCATGCAGTTTAAGAGCTCTACAAGGCCAAGCCCTGGTAATTAAATACTAGGACACCCTAGTGCTTTTTTTACTTTTACTTACCTCAAAGTACTGTAAATTTTAGAATCACAGAATCATTAAGGCTGGAAAAGACCACTAAGATCATCAGGTCCGGCTGTCAACCCAACACACCATCCCCACTGACCTACATCCCTCAGTGCCACATCTCTGTGGTTCTTGAACACCTCCAGGGACAGTGACTCCACCACCCCCCTGGGCAGCCTGTGCTACTGCCTCATCACTCTTTCTGAGAAGGAATTTTTCCTAATATCCAACCTGAACCTCCCCTGGTGCAACTGAAGGCCATTGCCTGTCTTTACATAGCTGTTGCCTGGGAGAAGCGGTCGATTCCCACCTTGCTCCAACCTCCTTCGGGTAGTTGTACAGAGGGAAGGTCATCTGTCATGCTATGCTGGGAAGGCAGAGTATAAGAAGATTCAGCCTGGATATTAGGAAAAATAACTTCTCAGAAAGAGTGTTTGAACCTGGCACAGGGATGTGGTGGAGTCACCATCCCTGGAGATGTTCAAGAATTGTGGAGATGTGGCACTCAGGGATGTGGTTAGTGGGCAATATTGGTAGTAGGTGGATGGTTGGACTATATGACTGTGTCATGTCACATGCTCTGTAGCAGTCTTACACCGAAGAAAGCTGGAGGATTCTGGCCTGCTCCCCAACAAGACCAGGATGCTCCTATGCCCCAAGCTAGATGCAAATGGCCAGTGTGAAGCCACTTCCCATCCCCAGTGACTCAAAGTCAAAGAAGCACTGGCATCCTGCTCCAGGAAGGGTCATTCACTTCCTTGCCCTGCAGGAAGGGTGCACACAGGGAGAACATGGAGTTGGGACAGCAGCATGAATCTCTAGGCATGCGGAAAATAAACATAATATTGCCAGGACTGTAGAGAGATGTAGCAAATCATGGGTGCCATGGGCACCTGAACACCTGCCTTCAGCCTTTCAATGGTATTGCTTCTTGGACATCCAGTGAGCTAAGCTTAGAGCAAAAGATTTGAAACACTACTCTGGCTATTAGTGTGGTCCTACTATCCTTCTGAGAGCTTTTTCTTTCTGCCTCATGTTTGTGTTGGGAAAAATGCCTGTTCTCTCCAAACTGTGTTTTATTTTTTCTGTCAGAGAGTTTGTATGGGAGTTCAAGACAGTGAGATATATGGAGATGCATTGGCACAGGCTGCCCAAGGACGTGGTCAGTGGGCATGGCAGGGTAGGGTTGACCTTGGTGGTCTTAGTGATCTTTTCCAATCTTAAAGATTCTCTGAGTCTTTGATATGTCTGTAGCACGTTTCTTGTCCAATCCAGGCTCTGCTGGATTAACAGCAGTCCTTAACAGCAGGACAAGGGAAATGGTTTTAAGTTCAGGGAGGGAAGATTTAGGTTGGATGTGAGGGGGAAGTTCTTTGTTATGAGAGTGGTGAGGTGCTGGAACAGGCTGCCCAGAGAAGTTGTGGATGCCCTGTCCCTAGAGGTGTTCAATGCTAGGTTGGATGGGGCCCTAGTCAACCTGGTCTAGTATTAAATGAGGAGGTTGGTGGCCCTGCATGTGGCAGGGGGGGTTGGAAATTCAGGATCCTTGAGGTCCCTTCCAACCCTGGCCATTCTGTGATTCTGTGATTCTGCTGCTTGCAAGCTCTGCTCTTGTCCTCTATAAGGATTCAGTTCTGTTTGTGGGAAGGCTCACTACAGCATCCAGCAGAGAAAGTTGAAAAGTTTTGCAGTGGTTACCTTCTAAGGATGGAATTATAAACACAGATGAGATGAGGTAAAGCAGCACAGAGTCCTGTAGAGCATGGCTTTTCGACATGGGCATTTTGTTCTTTGTGCAGCGTCTCCCAGAAGCACATGCTGAGGACTTTGTGACCTGTGAAGAACAGAGTGATCCTGGGATTAGGGCAGAAAGCTCACTCTGGGAGTAAAACTGCTCCATGAGGCTACGAGAGGAATTCTATAGGCCACATATATCACTGCAATAATACATTTGTTACTGCTCTTGTATTTGGAAGGCGATCCTGGAGCAGGGAAAGCAAGCCCTGAGCAGCTTTGTAAAAGTACCGCCTGGCTCCATCTGCAGGTGGCAGCTGAGATGACAGCCACGCTCGGTTTGGCTGCAGACTGCGCGCAGCTGAAAGCAGAGCAGGAAGTTGCTCCTCAGCCCTGTGCAGAAGACTTGTCCACTGAAAGTGAATCTCCACTCTTTTATGGTTTCTCTTTCCAAAAGTAAAGATTGTTGAGTCTGTGCTGATTTTGTGCATTTGGACCTTTGGAATAGTCCTGCTGCCCCTTGGTTTTCCTGGAAGATTCCCTGGAGCTTGGATGGAAAAGTTCAGGATTCCCATGTGTGATCTGAAGTGAACAAACTGATGAGCAGGGCATGAGGAGTTTTGGGTTTGTCTCCACACCTGAGTTGGGATGGTTGCTGGGAGCTGTTGGTGTTGGCTCTGGGGATCCACAGCTGCTGCCTGTTCCCTTCCCTTCCTAGCGACGTTCCTGCATCAAGCATCATCATCGGGGCACTGGAGCCCCATAGAGGAACAGAAGGGCCTGGGAATTACACTTGTACACATTATAGTTTCTCAGAGCTCAGGCATGAACAAGTATGGAGGAAAAAATGTTAACATATTGCATGCATGTACCCGTGGATGCTCTTGAGTGTGACCGTAGCAGTGCTCAACACTTCTGCACTGAGTAACAGCTTTTGATTCTTTTTAGAAATCCCTGCTTTCCCAGTCCCTGCCATCATACTTTTCATTTTTTCCTCTCAGAGACCCAGGACTCCAGTTACCTGTGTGCCACTCCTGCCTCAGCCTTATTTTCTCCAGCCAGGCATGACCAGCTCCAGCTATGTGGGGCTGATTGGTGGCAGCAGCTCTGAGCTCCCTCCTCCCATGCTTACTGTAGTCCAGCATTGCTCTGGCAGCCATTCTCCGCATGTGACATCTACAGAAGGCAGGAATTCCTTCTGCTCATGGCCACTGGAACAAATAGAGGCAATCTGGGATGCTGAGGGTCTGCCTTTTGCCCAGCTTTAAGAACAAGACCTGGGCACTGCTTTTGCCATGCCGCTGGATGTACCAACACCTGCTGGGATGAGGTTTTTCCTCCAGTATGCTGGCTGTTTTTTTGCTTTTTTCTCTACTGGCTTTTTGATAGCATCTACCTGGACAGACTGCTGGATGGTGAACGCTGACGATTCCCTGGAGGTAAGATCTTTTGGAGAACCTGATCTCCAAATCAGATGTGTCCTAGAGAGAGTTTGGTTTCTGGCATCATTGCTTTGCTTTCATCTACATTTCCACTGTCATGCAGGATGAAAGTGGATGAAAATGAGATGAATGGCTCTGGCAAGAGCTGCGGGAGAGGGGTATTTTGTGTAATTCTCTCTGCTGGATTCCACTCTCAGGAAAAGTTTAGAAGTTTCAGATTTAAGTGTGCATGAACTAGAGCGTGTTACCGTGCAGCTCCAGCCTGCAATGGGTTTTTTGGAGATGTTTCTGATTTTGTAGGCCAGACTTCTTGGTGATAAAGTCCAACATGTGCACAGTCATTTTTCTTAACAGCCACTGAGCTATGGAGCTAGCAGAAGCCTATGGGGTACATAGGGACTGCTGTCAGATCCAGCTCCCAAAACTATTTTCTTGAACTTGTGCAGACATTAGCACTTTCATGTAAAGAAAAACAGCATAATCCCACTGGTGTGACTGGGATATCACTCTTTGCTTATCGTCCTAATCTGGAACATGTTTTAGATTCATTTCAGGAAGCTGTGAGTCACCTGGATTAAGCTGAGGATGCTGGTATGAGCAGAAAAGCCAAATAGGTCACAAATTAGAGTAACAGAATCATAGGATCAGTAAGGTTGGAAAAGGCCACTTGAGATCATCTAGTCCAACCATCAACCCATCATTGATCCATAATTTCTAAGCAAAATGGAGGAGGAAAACCCAACTCCTAAGTAAAGTGAGTCCAGAAAAGAATCGATCCCGGTATCCTGAGGCCATGTAACCTTGTCTTCTTGTCAGGAGGCACCTGTGCTGGGCTGTCCCTAAGCATCCCATTAACACCCTGTGTGGTTATTAGCAGGCACCACTCTCACATTCCTGCTCTGAGTGTGAATACTAAATAATAGAGCAAAATGCCCCCAGCCTTAATACCTGACTGAATGAGCTCCCTAATGGCCCTAATGACTCACTGCTTCTAGGAATATGGGAATGCAGGGAAACCACTCATGGCCAGAAAGGTCTGCAGTATAAAACTGCTGGTTTCAGCTAGGCAAGTTTTGACTTCAGGAGAAATCACAGAATTGTGAAATCACTGAGGTTGGAAAAGACCACTAAGATCATCAGGTCCTGCTGATGTCAACCCATCACACCATCCCCACTGACCTGCAGCCCTCAGTGCCACATATCTGTGGTTCTTGAACACCTCCAGTGATGGTGATTCCACCACCTCCTCGGGTAGCCTGTGCCAATGCCTCACTGCTCTTTCTGAGAAGGAGTTTTTCTTAAGAAAGGACCTTTGTTCTTCATTATGGAAATCCCTTGGCCTCCAGCAGCTCATCTCCGCTGCAGGACTCAGGATCCAGCTAGATGCTGCAGCACAGAGCAGGGCTTGTGCTCATGCAACTGTGAGCAAGGCTGGGGCAGGATTTGCAGTGGTTTTTGCTGGTAAAAGCCATAAACTGCTTCCTAACAAGCACTGTTGTGTCAACTCAGTCCCCCCCTGTTGTAGCTGGATTAAAAGAATCCCCACCACTGTTAAGCACTGCCTTGTTCATTCCTGTGCTCGGCAGTCACTGTGTTGGCACCTTCTACAGTGCTGTAAAACACCACGTGCTTTCCCCAGGTTGGTGAGCGTGTGCTTGTTCTTTCATTTTTTATTTTTGTATTAGAATTATTTTAGTAGCAATTATACATTACGCATAGGATATGATTATATGTATTGCAGTCATTACGCAGTTGATGTTTTACATGCGTACTTGTGCTAGGGAAAGCAGGTCGTGGCTATATGTTTCACAATCAGAGCTGGAGATGGGAGTTTGGGATGAGATGTGCAGCTCCTTGGGGAGCCCTTGGCTGGGCAGATTTGCTATGGGAGGAAGGAAAAATCAGAAATTAGTGCTTGGGTTTGCACATGTTCAGTGCTAGCAAGAGTAGATAACAGCTGAAACATCCCAAGAAACAAAGAACATTCATCAAGTTTTTCCCAATCTGGAGAAGGGGTTGATTCATAAGCCAGATCACTGAACATAGATTTTGTATCTCAAAGACCTCCTTCTGTTTTACGTGAAAGCTAACGAAGCCTGGAATGCTGTTAGTCTCTTTATAAATAATATTGATGAGGATGCTGCTTGTAAGACTTAAAAAACAATACTAATGTGAGCAAGTGAAGGAAGTACATGAGAGTAGCAGCTGAATACAGAATAGTGTGAATAAACCCACAGAGATTTAGGTTGAATATGAAATGGAATAAACACAAGCGGAACAAAATGCAATTTAATAAAAATATGTTAATTTCAAGTGAAAACTAACATCTATGCAAATTTTTTACATGAAACTCTTCCCTTGAAAAATAACAGCCAATGAAACCATATCTTTTTCCTGCATGACTCCTCATTTTTGTGATATTTTTCATTTGACTTGCCCCCAGCATTCTCAGAACTTGCAAGTAGTTTTCATCTTCACAAAACAAAATAAATGGATTGTTTTCACTGAAACTTGGGCAATAACTTTTTTTACCTGTCTGAAATAGTGAGTCATTTTTAGACATCTGTAATCCACCATTCAGTATCACAGAGAGCGTTACAATTTGGCTTGTGCACTGTGTTATGGAGACAATGCTGTGATTGGCTTCAGGCTTCAGTACATCCCGAGTTAAACTTCATTAAGTGTCTGGTGTGCATTATTATCTGCTTTGTGATTTACGAAGCGTAAGAAAAAGAAATTTCTTGCATCATCCAAACCAGTACAGCTGTATCCCCTGTATAGACCCATTCCCCAAGTACTGTTTCCAGTGGGGTGCCCCTGGCAGAAGCAGGGCAGACTGGAGCCCCAAGCTGCCCCCACATTATCCTCACTCCTCCTATGAGCAATCCTAGAAGTGTTTCACAGGTGCTGATTGCTATATTTGCATGGGTAATGAAAACACCTCCCGTGTTAAAGTGATTTATGGAAGGCTGGGCCAGGAACACTGTCTAAGGCTTCAGAAGGATGGAACGATGAGCCTTGATACGACTGCAAGCTGTACAAAGCCTGGATGTCTCGACGATGAGTGTGATTGGTCCCACAGCTGGCAGTGTGCAGCAGGAGCCCCGGGGCCAGGACCAGCACTGGCTGCCCTTGCTCTTCCAGCTGGTGTTTATGGCTGAGTCATTTGGGGCAGCCCTTGAGAAGCATCTGGGAAAGGGCTCACACCTCCACTCTGCACAGAACACTCCCTTATCCTGATGGGGCCACCTCCTCCTGGTACAAGGCTGGTCCCTATGAGTCATGGGCAGCTCCATCCTCAGAGCCTTCTCTGCAGGGAGGTGGTTGGTAGGGAGTGGAATGGCAGATTCACGGGTCGTCCGGTCCACGGCCCTGCCCAGCTCAGCCTGGACAAGTAACTGGCAAGGGCTGAGCAAACCTCCTCTTAGGTATCTCCAACCAGCCACCCCTACATCTTCCCAGCATTTTTCCTCAGAATTTGTATCCTCCCCAATAGGATTTTTTTTTTAAATCTCATCTGAATCTCTTTCATTCCAATATAAAACCAAGAGCAGAAATAGAAAACACTGCCTTTTCTCTCCATCCTTCTCCTTTTCTTAGTACTTCCTACCAAATAACTCCAATTAGCCATCAAAACAGATGAACCAGGACATTTACTGAATCCAGATTGGTGGATATACTAACTTAGGGTCGTTTTTCTCTCTCCTTGACCCATAGGTGAGTACAAAATGCCGTGGTCTGTGGTGGGAATGTGTCACAAATGTTTTTGATGGGATCCAAACATGTGATGAGTACGACTCCATCTTCGCTGAGCACCCTGGTATGTAAGAGGGAAAGATGTTTCCATGAGAGCTGGGGACACCTGAGCATAGGACAGGGATCAAAAAGGGCATTTCTTCTATTCAGTCACAGATAATTTGATGCACTTATATACTGTGGCCGTATTTCTCTCAGTGAGGCATTAGTCCCAGGGAAAGCTGGAGGAAGCTTCACCCCAGGAAAAGGTGTTCCCACAGGACCTGACCCAATTACTCACCCACATGTCCATTCCTCATTTGTTCTGCTTCTGTTCTGCAGTGAAGCTGGTGCTGACCCGAGCCATGATGATCACAGCAGACATACTGGCAGGATTTGGATTTCTCTTCCTTGTCCTGGGTCTGGACTGTGTGAAATTCCTTCCAGATGAGCCACTTATCAAGCTGCGCATCTGCCTGGTGTCTGGAGTTACCTTGCTCATTGCAGGTATTCTTGGACCATTCCCCACTTTGCAGGCATCCTTCAGCAAAAAGGAGGTTTAATACCTTCCCTTATTTTGGAGACACAAGCTGGTGATTTTCTAGAGGGCAAACACCAAGGAAGGATGTTTATTTGCTGTGTTTGTGCAGTGTAGCTTCTAGGACTCTCTGCCTGCCCCTAGCAACAAATAGTTGAGTCTATCTTTTTCTATTTCACTTATTGGATAGATTCCTTGGTTGCTGAGGTGACTGACTTCCACTTACTGTTGATTTACTGTGAGGAAGTCAGCGTTGTTGAATAGGGCAAAGAGGCAGAACTGCCAGAGGACTAGAAATGCCCTGGCACACTGATTCAGTTCCTGGCTCAGCCACAGACTGTGTGGCCTTGGGCAAGTCACTTAGCCCAAAATCTTTTCAGCTCATTTGTAACAAAAGGGTAATAACACAGCTCTCCTTCTCAGGTGATAAATACTTTACTGACTGAGATACTTTGCTATTACAGCCAGTGGAAGAGTTTTAAATACAAAAATAGACTGCCAACAGGTTCTGAGTCATTTCATTTGACTTTATGACAATATTGAGCATCTACCTCCGCTTCAGTGTATGTAGATGTAACACGAAACTCACTGCAGCTACTGGGTGCACATGTGAAGTACTTAGACAGGTTCTTTTAAACACCCACCTTGTTTAAACATGCCTCACAAAATCAATCTGAAAAATGTTGTCAAAGTTCAGAAAGTCAAAAGAGATTTGAAAATTAATATCTCAAAGCAACTTTACAACAAGAAGAAGCTGAAATTTTTGCCATCTAATGCAGAAATCTGTGTGAGCCATTGAATCATAGATGTTGGGAAAGACCATTAAGATCATCAAGGCTAACCATCAACCCATCACACCATGCCCACTAACCCACATCCCTCAGTGCCACATCTCTATGGTTCTTGAACACCTCCAGGGATGGTGACTCCACCACCTCCCTGGGCAGCCTGTACTAACATTTCACTACTCTTTTTCAGTAGAAATTTTTCCAAATATCTTACTAATATCCTATAAAAATGCCACAAACTGGAACTGTGGGTATGAGATACAGCCCTTGTCTGGAAGGGCTAAAGACAACATCAGCAGGGGCCAGGGTGAACAGCCAAATAGAGCTGGGACAGAGCAGGGGCCAAAACTTGATGTCCAAGGAGGTTCTTCCCATCCTGAGGTCTGATCCAGGAGACTGAAGGCTACAGCTCAGGATTTTGTACTTGTGGTCTCCTCATGATTACTGTGGTCTGACTGGCAGCTCTGTGTGGCACCTCCCTCCTGTCCTGCAGGTCTCCCAGGCATCACGGGATCAATGTGGTATGCCATTGATGTCTACGTGGAGCGCACCTCTTTGGTCTTCCACAACGTCTTTCTGGGCATCCAGTACAAGTTTGGCTGGTCGTGCTGGCTCGGCATGGCGGGATCACTGGGCTGCTTCTTATCTGGGTCTCTGCTCACCTGCTGCATGTACCTCTTCAGAGGTGAGGAGCACGGGCAGGTCTGAAACACAGTGAAGGGGCAGAGACATTGCTCTATGGGCCTGCTGCAGGCCCATAGAGTCTGGAATGTCCTTCAAGGACATCCTTCAGGATAGTTGCTCATCCTTCATTGCAACATCTTCAGCTGTAAAATGGGAATAGTGTTATTTCAGCAGTACTATATAGCACATCAAGGGTTTTGGGTGGGAGCTGAGGTGCAAATATGGCATAAAATGTTATTATTTCATATACTGGAGTGCTTCTTTCTCTGTATTTTGAGGGTTTACAGTCTGAGAACCTCTGCGCACTTGTGAGTAGATCTCATTTCTCTCCTCACAGAGACCACCTCTGGAAGGCTCCATTCTGCATACTCCTTGAGGAAAGGCTATTCCTCTGCTGGGACGATTGTAACTAACGTGCACTTGCCGTCCTCACAAACAGCAACTGCCAAAATGTATGCCATGGACACAAGAGTGTGAGAAGGAGGCAGAAACATCAGAAGGAGCTCCACTCCAGTGGACTGTGCAGATACTTGAGCTCCTGCAATTGTGGTATAGATGCAAAGCTGAATTTTGAGGTGTGTTGTATGCTGTGCTGTTTGCATTATGACAGCTTAAAAAAAAAAAATCCTTCAAAAAAAAAACCTCCAAGAAGATCTTGCTTTAGGGATTCCTGATGTCTTCAGTACTGAGGCTGCTTGCATAAGCACAGACTGGAATCACCAACACAGACTCTTCCAGCCTTTGGTTCATCACTATCAGCGTGAGTGAAATAAATCAGCTGCTCCCACGTCAGCCACCAGCTCTCAGCATAAAGAACCTCAAACTGGAAGTTGGATCCTAATAGATGGAAGCATGAGTTAGGTGTGAAGTGATGAATTCTTGGATTACACCAAGAAGGCACAGAGAGATCTGGACATGATGGGCATTTCTGTTACTCCAGCTTCCTGGAGTAGTAGAGGAGGAGCAATCTAGAATCACCTACTAATGCGGATTTGCTTGCAGATCTTAAACCATTGATTTCTCCTGCTCCCTTCCTGAAATATGTTGTAGCTGGGGAGACTTCTCAGCCTTTGTCCTAATGGTCTTCAGCTTTTTTTAGGGTGGTGGGAGGTGCTTTGTGACTTGCAACACATGGGTCAAACCAAGCAGTGGCTCAGAGGACACTCTGGGGCTGACCATCCAGCTTTGTGCTCCTCCAGGTGTGCCAGTAAAACGTATGCATACCCCAAACACTGGCTTAACTCAGGATGCAAATTCCTCAAATATACATGTATACAGAAATTATTACATAAACATTCACAAGACATTTTTGCCTTCAGTGTGCATGCAGTATAAGGGTTAATTCTGTTCTCTGTATGCTGTTAGCTTTGGAGGATCCATCTCCTGCACTAGAGGACTAAGTAAAGGTCACGGCAGCACTTAGGTTTGCTGGGTTGATGTTTTGTAACAACCAGTCCAACGCTGAGTTGCTTCATTCAAATCCTGCTGACAGTCTAAGTGTTGTTTTGATCAGTTGTTAATATGTAATGGTTCATGCACTGATTGATCAAACTCTGAATCTGATTTCACGACTGCAGTGTGTAGTCCTCATTAGTTCATTGTCGTGCCTTGATGCCAATCTATTTTAGTTTGGGTCCTTTACTCATTAGCAATAAATCCTCCAGGAAGAACATAGGATTTCATTTCCCTTTCAAAATCACGACCCAAGCCTAAGGACATTGCAGGTGAGCTCATGTATTAAGGTGCTTTCTTTAGTTCTTCCAAATTCCTATTGGGGCAGCCTATCGAGGCTCTGGCTGGTTGTAGGTTACAGAGGGTAGCAATGCCTTAGATCTTTGCTAAGATGATTTCATGCTCTACAAATAGATATTGATTACCCATTTTGATGCATGCAAGCAAGAGAAAGATAATAAAATGATGACATCTACAGTAGGTGTCCTTTCCTGCCTGTAGTATATTGTCCTTTCACTGTCTTGGTCAGCCTTGGCCAGAAGGGCTCTTACTGCAGCTCTAATGCAAACTCACTCTTTGTAAAGGTCTTTGTAAGAAACAGACGGGAATAGTTTGCTTTTACATGGGAAGGTGTGCAGTTTACTTTTATGCCCCTCCCCTAAGAGTATCTTCGTTCACTGTCTTTGTCCACTGTGCACTGGCGCAAGAACTTGAATGCATCACTCCTAGAAAGGGACTCAGAGTATACCAGTATATTGCTGATGTGTTCTTTGGGGGCCTTATGTCTCACCTGACTGGGAGAACATAACCTTCTTAAAGACTGACAGCTGCATTTGAAAGATAACAAAGCACTGTGGGATGCTTGACAAACAGCATTCAAGGCCAGTCTGGATGAGGCTTTGAGCAACCTGGTCTAGTGGAAGGTGTCCCTGGGGTTGGAACTGAATGATCTGAAAGGACCCTTCCAACCCAAACAATTTTATGATTCTATGATTCTGTTAATCTATTTTGACTTCTTGAAGGGAAGCAATATGTGTTAGAAGGGGTTGAGATTGTGTCAGAGTTGACCCAGGCCAAGCAGTCTCAGGAGATAACACTGCGAGGGGTTTGAAGCTCTAGTTTAGCTGTTTGCCCAAACCCCAAACAATACAATCAAATAATGGGAGTCAACTTGCTGACAGGCCTGAGATGAAGACATTCAGTGGGTATTCCACACCCCTTATTACCCTTAAGCAAATGTTATCACAGTGGGATACAAATAAACATTTGCTGATTGTTAGATGTCATTTCACCTGAATTTAGCCAGAGAGAATTTTGAAACTTCAGTGACCCTGATCAGATCATGAAATTCTTATCCTGTCCTTGTCAACTAACATATCCTCATGCAGGTGCATGGATATTTTCTAAAACATGGATTTTGCTACTTTTCGCACACATTGATTTTTCTGTGAATTCAGTCTATCTGAATTATTATTTTCACTAGATAAGATTGTTTCTTTAGAATTCTATTTCCCTTACATTTTGTCGTATTTCTGAGATACAATAAATACAGTTGCCTTTGAGTGCCATCTTCCTCTAATGCCTCTTCCAAGGTTTGCCCAAGGAGGCGTTTGGGTAGGTGATCTGCCCTTGTTCCTGGGAGGGAAATCACTGCTTTCTTGGAAGGAAAGCAGGTTTTAGGAAGGTGGGGTGGGATTTCAGACCTTTGCTAATACCGACAGATGCCATAGCCCAGTGCACATCAGTAGTGGCAGCAGCGCTTTGACAGCTGGCCAACTCTATCCCTAGTTTTGGCATATCTGTTTCTCATCAATTTTTTAAACTTGCGAAGAGAGAAAAGTATAATTCCACCAAGAAAACTAGGTTTTCTCTCTCAGATGGGGCAGGAACCCCACTGTTTGCTCTTTTACCACTTTTAAATACAGTGAACAAAAATACTCTGTCCAAGCACTTCACAGGGAGCAGAGGACAAATTTCTTTGGGTAGCTATTGAGTTCCTGCTGTAAGATGCTTTTGAGCAAGAAAGGAAAGAGCCTAAACCATAGAGTTACCCAGAGAGTATCAGTCCCCAGCCTCATCCTCTTCCTCCCTATACAAAAGCCTGTAGCCCAGAGTCTTCAGATGACAATCAAAGAAGAGATTAACTAACAATTCTAGTTTTTTCACAATATTCATATGCAACCCTCCTGGCAGCCCTGGCTGATTCCCTGCTATAATTCAGCCACCTTCCTTTTTGCTCTATTTTGCTCAAGAGCCAGTTAATGACTTTATTATTCAGCTGTTGACATGTGGAGGTGAAAGTCCAACTCTGTGCCTCCCCATGTTCCCATTGTCTTTTGCTTCCAGATTGTCACCAAGCAATTATCTACTCTTTTCTGCACCTATTTCCACCTGTCAAGGTTTTTTGATGAGTGTCTTCACAAATAAACCTGCCTTTCAGTATTTTCTGGACTTTTCTAGAGCAGCTTGGTATTTCTTCTCAAAGTCAGTGGGCAGTACGTATTACAAGATGAGAGGAAGTCAGAAGGTCACAGCAGAACATTTTCAAAGTAGACCCAACTTCTAAGGCAATGAGTTGTAAAGAAATAGCTTATCTTTCCATATAGCTTAGGAAACATCAGCCAAACTGCAATAATTGACCTTGTTAAGGGCTGAGTGCTCACAAAAGCATAAGATTCCATGTAAAGTTTCTGCTTCTGTAAAGGTAAAAACACTGGTCTACAGAAACCTTGACAGGTAATGGCCTTAAGTTGCATCAGGGGATATTCAGGTTGGATATTAGGAAAAGTTTCTTCCTAGAAAGAGCAATGGTGCACTGGCACAGGCTGCCCAGGAGGCGGTGGAGTCACTGTCCCTGGAGGTGTTCAAGGGACATGGTTATGGGCATGGTGGGGTTGGGTTGGATTTGGTCTTTTCCTACCTCGGTGATTTTATAATTCTGCCAGAACAGCAGGGAGTAAGGGTGCATGCAGGCTAGGAGGGGTAACTTTCCTGGAGCAGCGTTAGACTGATGGGCTTCCTGAGTATACTTACAGAAGGAAGGAGCTCATCCCTTTCTTTGTTTTCACAGTCAGGAAGCCAAGGAGCAGGACAGCTCTTCTCATGAGCTGGGCTGCCCTGCCCACTGAGCTATCAGATCTTTCTCAGCCTGCTCCGCTTCCCCACCCCAGGCCAGCAAGGTTGGTTTATTAAAAAAAACCACCAACTCACCCCCATTCGCACATAGCTGCCCAAGGCTCCCACTGCATTGCAGAAATGACTTGGTGACAACCAGTATCTCGCTTTATTGGAAACCACTCTTCACAGTTTTGATTGAATCATTTCTTTTTGCCTGATGAAATCACCCTAGACACAAAGCAGAATGCACACTAGTAGTGCAGGATCAACAGCCTGCTGCCAGCAAAACTCCTGCAAGAGCTGCAGCCGCCTCGCAGCACTGCTGAAAGTCTCGCTTGCCCTCTGTTGGGTGGTTGGGGAAAGATTTACCTCCTTGGAAATGAATGCTGCTTGCTAGAATTCGTGAAAGAGGGATTCAGAGTGATGAAGGCACTGAACAGAGCTCTCCTTTCTTGTTAGCCTCTCTGGTCATCTGATTAGAAGGTGACATTCAGTGAAATTAGGGGATGGCTGTGTATTTAGGGGTGAGCAGTTAACAAGCAGAGGAGGGCAGTGTTTTATGCAGCACGTAATGCAAACAGCCTGTGGAGTGCACTTCCACCAAAGGGTCACCGCAGCAAATGCCGCGCAGAGGTTGGAAGGAAGCGGCGGCTGATTTAATGCCCACTAGCAGGCTGTGCAAGCTGAAGTGACAAACATAATCAAATCTCATGCTTCAGGGCATAAATTGAAGGGGCTGAGTAGTGGAAGCAGTTATGTGTATAAAAGATCTGTTCCTGAGAGATGCTAATCACCTGCAGTTCAGCAAGGGAAAGGACACTCAGGGACTGCTCAACTTCTCTGCTGGCTGACTCCGTACTTGCTAATTTTCCTTATTAATAAACCCCGTAATATTTCAGCCCGCTGGC